GGAAGCGCGCGCCTGCCACCCGGTGGTGGCACGGGGCACTGCAGGGGGCTGGCGGCCGCGGGGAGCCCTGCTGCAGTGCCGCAGGACCGCCGTGACCTTGTGCGGCGGCGGCCGCGGCATCCAGGCGCTCCCTGGGGAAGCTGCCCTCGCCTTTCACAGCGGCAGTTTTGAAGCAGGCGATTTGGCATTTGCCCGCACGTTAGCGATCTCTCCGGTCTTAGGGGATGGATGGACTTTTTGGCAGGAGAGCAAGAAATAACTAATGTGTTAGTGACAGAAAAGGGATGTGGCTGGTGCTGTGTCTTCATTCAGGGCACTGTTGGGGGAGACAGATGCTTCCTCGGTAAATATTTGATAGTTATTAGTTCGGGATCCTCCCGGAACTCTCTATTGTTTGATTAAAGAACAAAATAGTGAATGAGAAGTATTTCGAGGACTCTAAAAGCAGTGGTTCTCAACCCCGGGAGATTTTGCTGGAGATATTTGTCCATGTTTGTAGACATTTCGGTTGTCACGGCTGGGGGGTGGGTGCTCCTGGCATCTTGTGGGCAGAGGCCAGGGATGCAGCTCAGTATCCTGCAGTGCACAGGACAGTCCCCATGGCAGAGAATTGCATGGTCCTAAAGGTCACTCATAGCGCTGTTGAAAAACTGTGGCCTAAAGAACTAATCAGAGGGAAGGGATTCTCTTAACTGTTTTAATTTTTATGCAATATTATGAGATATCCTGGGGGATGTGTGGGAGGCAGTACATAATTTATGACTGGCAAGTAGGAGTGTGGGAGATGATGCTGAGGACCGGAGAAGCTCACCTGTAAAATGGTATAACAGTGATGACTGAGTCTCGGATAAAATGTATTGAGTCCAGCTGTGTGCTGGGTATTGTACTAAATTTTTTCATTTGTGATCTCACTTAATTTGGTTCTCACACAGATACAACTATGGCCGGAAAATGGAGGCTTGTAGAGGTAAAGGAACTCTCTAAACTCCCAGGGGTAGGGGGACTCCCGAGCCCTAGTCATATCCATCTTGCTGTTCCCCTGAGGGCATAAATCCAGAGTCCATGCACCAGATTGAGGCTGCATGTGCTTTCTCGTTGGTCCACAATATTTAAAAACAAGTTGCTCTTATTTCCAACATTTAAAAACAGAGAGATTTCCTGTAACTATCTCGATTTTCCGCACTTTTCTGCCAGCGCACCTGGAAAAGTATGGCAGTGATTGCCAGAGGCCCCACCTCTCCTTTTTACCTCCACTTCATGCTCTCCCGTTTGTGTTACCGGCTGGCTTCTGAAGGTGTTGAGTTTATGATCCCCGCTCTCTACCCCACAGCAGAATATTTAAGAGCCCGGCCTTCAAAAAGAGACTGTTTGCCTCCTGGTTTTGCTGTATGACCTTAGCCCCAGAGAAGCATCTTTATCGGCAACACAGAGATAATAAAACAATACCTACCTCATGGGGTGATGGGAGGCTTCAGTTAGTTAATACACAGAAAGCGCTTAAAATAGCACATGGTGATTGCCTTGTAAGTATTATGTAGTTGTTACTATTACATTGTGCTCCTTTATAAAAGAGTGTCCTTTGGGATTAGTGCTGGTGGAGTATTTATTTAAAATACCTGTCAAGTGATTGGTATTTATAAAGTTGTCAGAGAGGCATTTCAATATAGTCAGAAAGACTTCAGCTTCTTCCTGTTTAAAATGAGGAAAGTAGCATGTACCTCCCAGGTTTTATGAAGATTTCACAGGAAACTAATTGTTAAAGTGCCCAGTACAGTGCCTGACATACTAAGACTCACACGGATGGTTTCCTCTCCCCATCCCAGCCTGGGTCAGGCATTCTCAGCTTGGCACTGTTGACATTTTGGACTGGATAATTCTCTGTTGCAGGGGGCTGTCCTGTGCATTGTAGGATATTTAGCAGCATCCTTGGTCTCTACTCACTAGATGCCAGTAGCTCCCTGGCCTCCAGATGTGACAACTAAAAATGTCTCCAGACATTGCCAAGTGTCCCCTGGAGGACAGATTTGTCCCTAGGTGACAGCCACTGGGTTCGGTCCTGCTGCAGGCTCACATGCACACCATCTGGTTGCTGCCTCCCCTAACCCACGTAAGTGTGTCAGAAGCAATGCCGCATGTACTTCCTGCCTGTCAGCCGTCCTGCCAGCCTGAGGGTTCAAGGTGGAACTTGTAAGTAGCCTTCTGGGGCAGTGGCTCTCCAGGTTTGCTTAGGTCTAATTAAATTCATCCCTGTGAGCCATTTACTTTCTGTGGAGTCCCGAGGATCTGGGTTTGGGTCCTGAATCTTTTCCTCATTAGCTGTATGATTTCAGGAGTTACCTAACCTCTCTGAGCCCCTTTTCTCATTTTTAAAACAGAGGTAACAGTACCTACGGCACAGGCTGCCGTGAGCCTTAAGTGAGAGAACGCACGCGGAGCGTCAAGTGCTCAGCATGGGGAGTGTCCGGGAGCGGGAGCCGCCGTTACCCATCCGCGTCGCTGCTCTGGGCTCCGCGGCAAATAACGCCTAGTTCTGTGCTTCATCTCTGTCTAACGCGGCCCAGCTAACACTTTCCCGAAGTTACTCTTCAGTATCGGGCAGATCTTCTTGGCTCTTGTTTTTCAGTTGCTACTGAGACACGTGCAGGTATTTTCTGTTTAGATGCCACTGTGTTCCTATTCTGTGCTCTCCTACGCAGATTCCTGCGTCATCAGTGACCACCCCAAAATCCAGATCAAGAACTCGACCTTCTGCATGACTGCCTATCCCAACTTGACAATGATTAACTTCACCAGCCAGGCCAACAAGACGTTTGTCAGCGGGAGTGAGGAGTACTTCAAGTAAGCGGCCTGTTCCTTACGTTAGGCTGTCAGAGAAACCCAGTCAAGGCAGGCAGGCTGGACTCAGGAGGAGGCGCCGTGGCCCGAGGGCGGGTTGCCTCCCTCTGCACCCTCCCTACCTATCCTAGCGATCAGTGAGGAGGACATTTCCCCCGGTTNGCTCCCTACCTATCCAAGCCAGCGATCAGTGAGGAGGACATTTCCCCCGGTTTGGCTTCTGAGAGCAGGTTGTCCTGCCTCTGGGCCTGGAGGTGAGAGTTGGCAGAATACTGGTGGGAACAGAATTGCTGCCGCTGTTACTCATGATGTTGCGGCAAAAACACTGCAAGACCTTCATGCAGTGTGATCTAAGCACACCTTCTGTTGACTAGTTTATTTCTTCTGCATCTGAGAAGGAAAGAGAGGCAAAAAGTCAGAAACCAAGTCATGGTCAAGGATTTAAATAACTAAATCATGTTTTTTAAGAACAGTTTCACCCTAGTTTTGTACTTTTTTTTTTTAAATATATCTTTATTGATTTCAGAGAGAGGAAAGGAGGGGGAGAAAGAGAGATAGAAATATCAATGATGAGAGAGTCATTGATCAAGCCCACAACCGGGGCATGTATCCTGACCAGGAATCGAACCCCGATCGCCTGAATCCTAGGTCGATGTTCAACCGCTGAGCCACGCCTGGCCGGGCCCTAGTTTTGTACTTTCTACATCTGTATTGCCAGACACTGAAGGCTGAGGTGCAGGGACACCAGAAAACCCTCAGCCCCCACAGGACGATTTAGTAAAGTTCATGGAGTTATTTCTTTTATTTTTTTATCTTATTATTTTATTATTTTTATTTACTTATTTAATTTTTTTTCACGGAGTTGTTTCTTAAGGGAGGTACAGGTAAGCAGACTTCAACAGAGGGAGTGGCCATCCCTGCCCCTAAAAGCGTGCTGTTCTCTGCAAAACAGCCTCTCATGCGGCCACTCACTGGCTGGCCGGAGGGGCGTGGTGCTGCTGCCTTAGGTCAGAAAGTCCTGGGCTGTCATTCCTGCAGTCCGGTAGAGTCTGGATTCTGGCTGGGCCTTTGCTAAGCACAGAAAACCACCAACCAGCCAACACAGCTCTTCTATCCAGGATGCCTGACTTGACTGCTGCAGAGCTGAAGGGATGGTTGAGTCTTACGAGCACTCACTGTCCTCCTATCCCCAGGAGGGAGGCTGCTTGCCCACCTTCTGGCCGGGCTACAAGCTGCTGCCAGGACACGGCGGCCTCCAGGCGGGTCGTGACGTCCTCAGCACACACAGGCGGTGGGCAGCGTCTACAGATAACCAGCAGCCCCCTTCTGTTGGTAGTTAGCTGGTGTCTGTCTTTGAATGTGGTTCTTGAATGAGGTCCGGCTGATCAGTTGTCACAGTTGAACCAGTCTCAGCCTTGGGAGGTGCCCAACACAACTTGGACTTAAACGAAGAGCAGCATTTTGGGTCATTTAGCATAATGAGCCTGTACTGATTTTTAAAATGTAAAGCTAGGCGAATCCTGCCCGAATGCATTCTCATAAAAGAGTAGAGCAATAGAGAAAGCACACAAAAACCACCCTGGACAGTTTAGAGTTTCTCTTCTTGATGTGACCTTCTGTGAAGACATCAACCTTGGCAATGCCCGTGGGGGGCTGTGCTGGAAACCCACACCCCCAGAGCTGTGGGATTTGTTGCACTTCTCCTGGGGCATCTCCTGATGACGGCGGAGCTGACAGTCTTGTACGGAGCTTGTCGGGGGCCATCAGTGGTCACATAATGGCGAGCAGGGTTGATCTGCTGCTTTCTCTGCAGACAGGTGTGGGCAGGAGCCCAGGTCAGAGAATCCCTCACAACCCCATCTGATCAGGTCCCTGATGGGGAGGGTGGGGTTGCTGGAGTTTGTTCAAAGCTGTGGCTCTCCTGGGAGATTAGAGCCTGCAGACTGTCACCCTCTCCCCGCCTTCTCTTTCCCACTCTCAGGTACTTTGTGCTGAAGATTTCTGCAGGGATCGAGTATCCCGGGGAGATCAGGTGGCCACTAGCCTTCTGCCTCTTCCTGGCGTGGGTAATCGTGTATGCGTCCCTGGCAAAAGGAATCAAGACTTCAGGAAAAGTAAGAATTTGGGTTTACCTAAGAGAAAGCTCTGGGGCACCCAGGGGCGATTGCGCCACGAGCGGGTTAAAGAGCACTGGAAAGAGGAGACCCCGGCGCCATTCTGATTCCGGCTCCAAGCAGCTGTGGGCCTCGCGAGTGACCTCACTCCTGTCTGTAAAATGGGATAATAACACCTTTCTTCCGGGGCTGTTTTAAGGCTTAAAGGAGACAGCCGTACACAGAGTTCCTGATGTGTGGTGGGGGGCTGCCGCCTCACCAGCAGGTGGGCCCCCCCGATGCGGGTCAGTTGCTCTCCTGAACTAGAATCAGCGCTGCTGGCCTTTAGCCTCTTGGTCTGTCTGTCAGGCCAGTTAGTGCTGCTGCCAAGACGCTGGAAAAAGACCAAAATTGTGACGCGATCCCTTCTCCCAGCCCCACCTCCACGCTCTCAGCCTTTCCTGTTCTTTTCCCAACTCCCGACCCAACGCCCTCCGCCCCACGTGCCCCCAGCACCAATGGGTGACAGTCCTGCCGGTGGGGTCTGGGGTGACTCTTGCTGAGCCGTCGCTTGGCTGGCCCTTTGGAGGTGATGGAACTCCCACCCCAAGCTCAGTTCCAGGCCTGAAGACAAAGAGTCCAGGAACCTCAGGGCACGTTGGGTGTGGCCACAGGGTCACGGTGCTTTTATTAGCCCGTGATGCTTTAGGGTGGCGTCCCTGATTTAGAATGTAGTCCTTGGTGCTAGATTTCATGGGCTTTGGAACAGGACTTTTTGAGCAGTCCTGAGCAGATTTTCCATTTATTTTTTTATTTTATTTTATTTTAAAATATATCTGTATTGATTTCAGAGAGAGGAAAGGAGAGGGAGAGAGAGAGATAGAAACATCAATGATGAGAGAGTCATTGATCGAGCCCGCAACCCGGGCATGTGCCCTGATTGGGAATCGAACCCCGATCGCCTGGATCCCAGGTCGACGCTCAACCACTGAGCCACGCCCGGCCGGGCTTGCAGATTTTTTTTTTAGATCTGCTAACTTATCTCTCTGCTTTATTGAGAAAAGTTGCCAACTAGGGATCAATGATTAATTTTTTTAAAATGAGGAATACCACCAGAAATGACGACACTGCCCTGGTGTGCAGGTGTTAACCAAGGAGCATGGTTTGGAAGCCTGGGTGAATGGTGGCTGAGGCTGCTTATTATATGGGCTCCTCTGTGACTGAAATTCCATGAGCATTGTCATTTCTAAGCACTGGGTGGGGAGGTCCTCCTGCAGCGAGATAAGCTCAGTTCTTCTCTCTCAGGGCCCTAGGAGACAAGATTGGCTCGTTGCTTCCTATGAAACCTCACTCTCCCCAACCCCCTTTTTAAAAAAATAGGTTTTTATTAATTTCAGAGAAAGAGGAGGGGGAGAGAGAGAGAGAGAGAGAGAAACATCAATTGGTTGCCTCCTGCATGCCCCCTCCTGGCGATAGAGCCTGCAGCCTGAGCATGTGTCCTGACTGGGAATCAAACCCGTGACCTCTCAGTACACAGGACGCTGCTCAACCACCTGAGCCATACCACGACTGAGCCCAGCTCACTTTCCCCTTTGAGCAGCTGGAATTCCAGAGGTAGGGGCAAGCAGCCGGCAGCCTGAAGGTCATTTGACCCCAGGGGCCTCTCTGCCTGAGGGTTTTGGGAACAACACAAAGCTAANAATGCAGCCCATCCGACCCCAGGGGCCTCTCTGCCTGAGGGTTTTGGGAACAACACAAAGCTAACCTAATTAGCTAGTGCAGGCTGGGGGAGCGAGGGGGGCCTTACCTGACCACCTGTTCAGGGCTCCGGCTGTGAGAAAATGCGGCCAGGTGTCAGGCCAGCGGGCTCAGATCAACCAGTAACTGTCATTCCTGCCAAGTGTAATTCATTACTGTTCACGTTTAATTCCTCTGACAGTGCTTTCTGAAACAGGTGCATTCTGGAGCTGCCCTGGCACAGGGAACCAGCTGGCTCAGAGCCCCCATGCACACTGACTCACATGTAGGCGCCCCCAGGATTTGTAAGCCAAGCTGTGGGCTGTTTTAGTTCAGCAAGATCACTATCCACAAAGTGATCGCATCATCCCACATTTCATGGCCCAGACCTAGGTGAGGCAAGCAGGTGCTTGGGTGTGAAATTTAAGGCTTCCCTCACTCTCCGGTTCCTGGACGTGCCAGTTGGACCCTGAGAGTGGGTGCCTCCTTAAATTTTGACCTCTCGGTGCCTCACTAACCCTGGCCTGGCCTCATACATTTCTGATTATGTGGCCCATAGAGGGGCATTAATAGGAAGGAAGGAAGAACATAGGAGTTAGAAAGCTTCAAGTTTGGATCTTGCCTCCAGCTGGGAGACCTTGAGTGACATATTTAACCCACTTTGAGACACAACCTGAGCCTGAGTTTCCTCCTGAAATGGTCATGTTTGAACAGTCTCCAGTAGTCCAATGGGAAGAGTTGTTTTAGGCGGTTAGACTGGTGCCAGTCTTGGGGTTTTCTTCCTGCCGGCCTCCCTCCTCACTTCCCACCAGCCCCTTGTGCTAAGAAGGTGAAAGGTCTTCCCTCCTTGTCACCCTGCCCCTGCTGTCTTGGTGGGGTGGGGAGGTCAGACTGGTCCAACCGGGCCCTGCCCTGTAGCATCTCCTCTCCCAGCCCCATCTGACAGCTGGGGGACAGCCTGGGCATCCTGGTGTTATTGGAGAAAAGCGTGGGTGGTCTTTCTCCTTTGCTAGTGGGAGTGGGCTCTTGGGGCACTGCTGGAATAAGCATTTCCAGAGGCCCCCACAGGAGGATGAGGTGTGGCAGAAAGCTTTTATTTTCATGAAATTACACTCCTGGGTTTCCAAAGTCCCATTTCCCTTAGTCCAGTCATAGAAGAGTGTAGCTGGAGATTCAGGAGAGCTAGAAGCAAAGCCAGCGCCCAGAGTTTCCTTTCCATGTTGGAACCGGGTCCAGTTCAGCAGCAGGCTAGTTACAGTCCATTAGCCCATTGTGTGTGGGGTGAATGCAGGAGAGTGTGCCCCCAGCAATAAGAATCCCAAGAGCAGAAGAGGAACCAAGAGAGATAACTCCTTTGTTTAGGGGATTAAATATCTCAAATTTTGTGCCTTTGCAGTGGCCACGTCCATTCTGCCCAATGACTCATTCCCAGGTGTGACTGACAGACAAGTACCTTCCCGACATCACCCCAGCTTTACTGGGCATGCAGTCTGCCCTCCTCCCTGTCCAGTCCCTTCCCCCAGTGATCTGTGGGGAACAGAATCCAGTGGCTCCCTGGGGAGTGTCAGGCTGCAGCTTCTTGTGAAGCTGCCCAAGCAATGTGCCTATAATATTTGGCCTTCCCTTTGCTCCTTTCCTGTTATTGATAAGTAGTTGATTACGATGGTGTCAATTCCACATTAAATTGGTCAGGAAATTCTGTTGGCTCTTCCCGCAAAATATATCCAGTGTCTGACCATTTGTCCTAGCTCCTGTGAGACACCCTGGCTGGAACCATTGTCCTCCTTGCCTGGATTACAGCCTTGGCCTCCTAGCAGCTGTCCCAGCTCCTGCCCTTGTGCCCTGCAGTGTATTTGCAACACAGCAACTGGGTGGTGGTTAAAATGTTAGATCACGTCACTCCTCGGCCCACATCCCTGCAGTAGCTCCCATTCCTCACCTAGTAAAGGCCCCACAACCTCTACAGGACCTGTCCCTCCCCCGAACCTGCCCTCTGACTTCCTCCCCGCCTGTGCTCTGCCCCAGTCACACTGCCTCCTTGCTGTTCCTCCAAGTCAAGGCGCAATCTCTTCTTAGGGCCTCACTCTAGCTGTTCCCTGTGTCTCCACCATTCTCCCAGGTTCCAGTTGGCTCACTCTCACGTCTTTCAAGTCCTGGCTTGCTTTTCAATGAGGCCTCCCCTGCATGTCCTACCCGCTTTGCTCTGCTCTACTTTTTCTATTCCCCAGTGCACGCATCACCTTCTAATATGCCACAAACGATGTTACGCTTACTACTGGTTGTCAGTCTCCCCAGCTAGAATGTAAGCTATTTGAGGGCAGGGGTCCTTTTCATGTTTACTGATACACCCCACATGCTTAATGAAATGAGGCCAAGAGTTCAATCTTAATCTCAACCCTAACCTACCCTCAACTCATCCCCTGCAAGTCCCCAAGTGAGTCTTCATCCTTTGAAATCCCAGTTCCTGCCAGTTCACCGCCACTCTGGAGCCCCCTCGCCAGGCCTTAGAGTCTGTGCAGCCAGCACGTGGCGGGGTTTCTGTCTCCCTCCCAGGGGGCAGGTGCCCCAGGATGGAAGATACAGGTGGGACTGGAGTGGCTCTGAGCCAACAGTGCTCATCCAGCTGGCTGTGCTCACCCACCTCATGGATCAGAGAGGGTTTGATGGGCCGGGATGGGAGCTAAGCCTCAGCCTTCCTAGTGTCTTTTAATGCACTTTTGGGATGCAACTGGCCTGTGAGCTGAAGATGGTCAGTGTTACTGAGACTGATGAGACCTAGGCAAGACTGAAGTGGCACTTCTAGTTCCAGTGCCCCCAGACTTTCACTGCTTTAAATGGATTGTCCCATTGTACTCTCCCAACAGCCCCATTGAGGAGTATGCTGTTGCTATCACTCCTTTGCAGGTGTGGAAACTGAGACTCAGAGAGGTTAAGTCACTCCTCAAGGCAGCCCAGCTTGTAAGTGATGGAGCTGTTATTTGAGTTTGGGCCTGTGGCACTGTAGAGCCTGAGCTCTCACAGCCTGCTCTTCTCTCCACCTACCGAGTCCCAGTCCCAAGCCCTTCATCCCCAGGTTTGATTGACAGATACGGAAGGAAAGCACCTCCCACTTGTCCCCATCCCTACCCAACTACAGTCCCCAAGTTCTGCTGCTGTTACTTCCCAAGTGTTTCTTGACTCTGGTCCCTCCCTCTCCTCCAGAGTCCAGGAGCATCCTTCACTGGCATTCAAGGCCTCCTATGACGTGGTCTCCTCCCATGTGTCCCCCTGCCTTCACTCTTAGCCTCAACTTTATTTTGGCCAGTGATTAGAGCTTTGCCCTCACACACCTGCTTGTCCACTTTCTTCCTTCACCTTCCCTCCTTGCCTCACCTCATTGGCCTTTCAGATCCAGTTCATTTGTCATCTCCATGAATCTTTCAGTGAACTCCCAGGTTGAGCACACTGCCCTCCCCTGGATGTCGAAGTGTCCTGTGTGTACTGTTTAGCCCGTTACTCGGACACTGTCTTCTACGTCATGAGTCCTTTCATCTTTATGCATCTAATGTCTGGCATGGTGCCCCACTCCTAGTAGGCCCTCGGTAAATGCTCATTGAACTTAATCGTATTTAATGACCATCTATCATAAATCAGACACTATGCTAAGTGATCATTTGATGCTCACAATTATTTATTTGTCCCTGTTCACAGATGCAGAAACTGAGATTCATGCTTAAGAGCTTGTCCAGATTCTCCTGGCTCCTCAGTGCTGGAGATATTATTCCGTTTGAACCTAAATGTGTCTGATCCTCAGATCAGGGTCTCTTCACCTCACCAGGCTGCTTCATGTAGGGCATCTATATAAACAAAGAATAAACCAGGACAGAAAGCTTAAGCTAAAAGGATTAATCTCTAATAGTAGAATCTGGGGTCTCAGGCAGAGGGTAGAGTAGGAGTTAGGGAGGCGTTGTCCACTCAGCCGCTGGGTGGGCAAGATCCTCCCAGCCATCCACACTGCGGGCTGACTCACCGCGCAGCCTTGAGTCTCACTGACTTTATTTTTGGTTTCCTCTGAGTCACCTTTGGTCCCAGTGCCTTTCCCATGTCCCCGACCCTGGATACACTCCCATTGGGCACCTGCGTCCAGGTGGCAGGTCCCACCTGCCTCCGTTGATGTTCCTTTGGCCTGTGCTGCAGGCCTGCTCAACCCAGCCTCTGTTGCATGGCTTTTCCAGGTGGTTTACTTCACGGCCACATTCCCGTACGTCGTGCTCGTGATCCTTCTCATCCGAGGAGTCACCCTGCCCGGAGCTGGCGATGGGATCTGGTACTTCATCACGCCGAAGTGGGAGAAGCTCACAGATGCCACGGTGGGCTCCTGGTTTAACTTGCGATGTGCCCGTTAGGGGGGAAGGCCACCTGGGGAGGGGCCCTGCACCAGGATGCTGTTTGCCAGAAGGAGTCAGACCTCCTCCCGCGGGGCATCTCACTGTCCCCTTTTACAAGGTCCTGCTAATCTTGGAACAGCACGCACTCAGGACATCTTTAATGAGAAGTGGGCAACTGGGGGTTTTCTGGTTCTGGGAATAGTTGTCCTACATCTAGGGTAGCAGCAGAGGCCGAAATGAAGAATGAAATCCCCTTGGTAGCTTTGGGCCATCTCACGCCACTTATCTCTTACTAATTATAGTGTGTTGGAAATGGAGTTTTGCTGGTTGGAAAATAATAGCACTTAGGCAATTCTATTTTAAAGGGCTCAGACACGTTGGAGTACTTCCTGCAACAAACACAGAGCCAGCACATGCCTGCACTTTCTCTGCATATTCTATGCAGGCACATCTCACTCTAAATTTCCCAGTCCAAAGACCTCCAAATGAGGGGTGTCTGTTTAATAAGAAGTGAGTTTTCTCACCTTAAAGAAATATATGCTTTTCCAGCATATGTTAAGAACACACAGCTAGGATCGAATTTGCACATAACAGAAAACCCCCCAGATAATGACAACTTAAGCAAGATAAAAGTTTATTTCATTTGCATGCACTAAAGCAGCTCAATGGTAGATATCCACTGGTTGGGTATCTCCAGGGTGTCATCAGGGGCCCAAGATCCTGTCTTTCTTCCCTACTATCCTTGGTGAATAGCTTTTGTGTGGCTGCCAGAGCTCCAGCCATTATATCAGCATTCCAAGTAGAACAAAGGGGTGAAGAAAAGGGTAGAGATAGGCACCCTCAATCTCTTTAGAAGTGTGGAAACTCCAGAAGTCCCACATCACACTTGATTTTCACGCCATTAGCCAGAAACTAAATCACATAATTATCTTCTCCAAGTTGCATATCCCCTTGATGCTGGGAGGTTGTCCTTGAGCTGGACGAATGGCTGCCTTTAAATAAAACCCCAGCTTTGTTACTCTGGCGCACAGGAGAGTGGATGTTGGGGTAGGCCCAGTCTTTGCCAGGATACACGTGAACTTCCTCTTGCATATTTTAAGCACAATTTAAAAACCGGATTTAATTTATAAAAATGATGGCAGGTCCATCGTATGAATCATATAAATCTCTAGCTTGCACTTTTGAGTGGCCTTCTGTAGTTTTATGAGGACAATTAGGAGAAATCACCAAGGGAACCAAGAGGCGATGTCAGCCAAGTTCAGGAAGCACGTGACGCTATAAACCCCCTCCGCGGTGGCACAGAGGTTGCTTTACTGAAACGAGGAGCCATAGAATTTCAGATTCTTAATAGCAGTTTTTTTAATCTGTAGGAATGTTAATTTGTAAAGGTTTATATTTTGTATCCACCAATATATCTTGCTGTTGCAAATTGTTTTCTGAGGGTGATTGCAGCTTAAGCAAGGGCCCTCCCCTTCTGTGTAGTTTTCCATGGCAGGAAATAGAAGATGAACCGTGTAGGGAGTTTATGGTGCTCCTCCCCTTTGATTCGAATGGAGCTGAAATCTCCCAGGTAATTCACTGCCTTTGGCTTCCGGCACAAATGATGTTTCTCATTCACATCGGTGCTGAAGTCTCCCCTGACTGCCTTCACCTGGGGTGGTGATGTGGCAGGGGCCGTGGCAGACTCCCCTGCGTGGGTCAGCCTCTCCCAGTGACCTCGACTCTTCTCCCCTCTCTCCTGCTAGGTGTGGAAAGATGCTGCCACTCAGATTTTCTTCTCTCTATCTGCTGCCTGGGGAGGTCTGATCACTCTCTCTTCTTACAACAAATTCCACAACAACTGCTACAGGTATGTGGTAGCCCTTCTAGTCCCAGTGGTGGCTGGCGAGTGGGAATAGGACCTGGGGACAGAAAATGGACTGCGGCCACATCCTCACACTTCACCTGAAGTAGAGCCAGAGAGTTGCCCTGGCACAGGTGAAGCCCCCTGCTCCGGCCTCGCTGCTGGTTCCTGGTGGCCTGGCCCCCACTTGTGCTGCTGATTCTGACCCATGGAATGGGACCAAGACTCTGTGCACGTGCTATGCAGCAAGGCATGTCCTGGGATAGTCCTTTTATAAGCAGTATAGTCCCTGGGTACAGCCGTATGTTAGTCACTGATGAAGTCTGGTCATTCAGTCACCCAACAGATGTTCTTCTAGAGACCCTATAAGAAAAGAGCACCTTGGTGATAGATGTGTTAATTAACTCGATAGTAGGGATCCTGTCACAGCGTATACATATATCAAATCATCACATTGTACACTTTAAATATAATACAGTTTTTTTTGTCAGTTTAATCTCAATAAAGCTGAAAAAAAGAGAAAACTTTGAGTACCCCTCCCAGATCTATTAATCAGAGTGTCTGGAGACGGGGCAGGCCCAGGAATCTACAGATCCAGAAAGCATCCTCCAGGGATTCTGAGGATGGTGAAGACCTGCGAGAGCCTGACCAGTTCCTGCGGGAGATGATACAGAAAGTTAAACGTGTCTATGACAAGCAGTAGGGAAATAAGGCCCATTCTCTTGGGGAGCGAAGGGAGGGAGGG